TATTGTTCACAAGAATTACAGTAAACTATACAGATTGACCAACCAGAATCAAGTATTTCAGGCCTAGTTTACACCTGGTATTAAAGGGTTAGTTCACCCAAAAGTGAAAATTCCGTCATTAATTACTCACCCTCATGTCGTTCCAAACACGTAAGACCTTCGTCCATCTTCAGAACACAAATTAAGATCATTTTTGATCAAATCCGAGAGCTTTCTGACCCTCCATAGACAGCAACACAACTGACACGTTCAAGGCACAGAAAGGTAGTGAGGACATCATTAAAATGGTCCATGTGACATCAGTGGTTCAACCGTAATTGTATGAAGCTACAAGAATACTTTTTGTGCACAAAGAAAACAAAAATAATTACTTTATTCAACAATTTCTTCTCTGCCGTGTTAGTTTTCAACTTGTTCTGACATAAAACCCGGATGCGCTGTGTCTTGTTTACAAGCAGAGGAAGACATGCTGTACATAAAATGCTGTACATGTCTTCGTAAACATGTCTGAAGATTTCAACAGAGAGGATGACTTGCCATTTTTGTCCAGTTTTACTTATTTGAATCAGAATAAGTCATAATCATCTCATAATAACTAAGAGAGATGGATGTCCTACATCAGAACAGCGGCTCCTGCTTCAGCAGCATCACACACACGTGTGTCGTGGTACTTTCATGAACGCACATCAAAAACCGACACGGCAGAGAAGAAATTGTTGAATAAAGACGTTATTGTTGTTTTCTTTGCACACAAAAAGTATTCTCGTAGATTCATAAAATTATGGTTGAACCACTGTCACATAGACTATTTTATTGATGTGAAAGTGAAGTGAGCGTCCCATACTCAGAATTTGTGCTCTGCATTTAACCCATCCAAGTGCGGACACACACAGCAGTGCCTTGCTCAAGGGTCTCACCTCAGTGGTGGTATTGAAGGTGGAGAGAGCACTGGTTATTCACTCCCCCCACCGACAATTCCTGTCGGACATGAGACTCGAACCCGCGACCTTCAGGTTATTTATTTTTACCCATATAGCCCAAATTACAATTCCTGTCGGACATGAGACTCGAACCCGCGACCTTCAGGTTACAAGTCCGACTCTCTATCCATTAGCCCACGACTGTCCTTATTACATTTCTGGGCCTTGAACGTGTCAGTTACATTGCCGTCTATGCAGCGTCAGAAAGCCCTCAAATTTCATCAGAAATATCTTAATTTGTGTTCCGAAGATGAACAAAGGTCTTACAGGTTTGGAATGACAAGAGGGCGAGTAATTAATATCAATTTAGATTTTTGGGTGAACTATCCCATTAAGTTGCATTTCTGTCAATCCGTGCACAAGTGGACAATGCTAATACGGGGTTTGAAACATTTTGAGCTTGTCCACTTTTCGACCACTTCCAGAGATCAAAAACGCATTCAGCCGGATTGCTTTCATAGTGTAGATGCTCAAGTGGTTGAATGGGTTCAAACAGCCAACCAAATACCGCCTCCACTCTGCCTAATTATCTAATTGTTAAACATTAAATCGTAAATTTGGTTTGAAGGGCGTAAAAAAAATTTTTTTAAAAAAAGCACAATGTTCTCTTACCAGTCCTGGTTCTAACACAAACCCACAGCGTTTGGTGTAGCTTTGCGGGTATCAATGAAGAAATAAAAGCTGCTGCCTTCCATATTGTTTTCTGTTGTCTCCTTATGTGTTCGTATGTAAATTGCGCGAACCTATTTCACTATATTAGATCGAAAGATCAGAAAAGGCCCATACATACACCCGACCATAGACTGTCCCCTCAAAGAAATCAGGAAAGTGGTCGAAAGTTGACAAAAGAGACGGATTAAAACGCCAGCTGTAAACGGGAATGTGTCTCCATTGTGTACTTATGATCCAATCGACCAAAACGCATCTGAATAGCAGGTGTGAACAAGGCCTTAGAAAAAAAATCAAAAAATAAAACTGTTAGTCACTCTTTCTATGGTTTTTGTAGGTAGTATGACATGAAATCTGTCTGGACTTCCAATTGTGGGTTGATTCAGCCGTCTTTGGCTTTTCTTACAGGTGTCTAGAGGAGCGAGAATCACCACGGCGAGTGCCCGAATCCAAGCTTTATCCACTCCTAAAGCCCTCTCTAAAGATTAAATCCCACCCAGAGAACCAACATGGCAAGAGAAAACAAGACAGACCACAAAGCTGTGGTTTCCAGCACATTCATCATCTGCAGTTATTGTATTTTGTCACTTTCTCACCACCTTCCTTTTCCTATCAGGAGCTTGTTGATTGGTTGAGCTCTCGTTGCTTTCGCTCTGGTTTTCTAATCACAGTCTCAGATTTTGACTCTGGACTACTTCTGACTGAAATTGAAGTACTACATTATTCTTAGCCTGCTGCCAAACTCGCCTGGCTCCTCAAACAGGACTCTGCGTTTTACGCCTATAGTGTTTCCAGATTGTCTCTTTTGGATTTCTGTCTAGAAAATGCTTTCTGTGAGAAAATGCTGCAATCTATCAGCATCTGGTTTGAACATCAGTGTAAGTTTTCTTGCCTGGACTTTCATTCTACACATTCACCTACGTTACACTTCTGTACTAGAATCATGTGAATGAATAATAATAATAAAAAAAAATATATATATATAAAAAAAAAAATTCTCTGTGCATTGGCAAGTATTTCAATAGTTACATTGTATTTACTGTTAAAAAAAATAAACCACTTTTAAAAAAGTAAATCTTACCATTTAAATATTTGATTTCACTAGGGATTATGCCTTGTTGTGATTCTTAAATTGAATAATTGAAAAGGAGTTACCAGTAACTTAAAAACGGTCATTTTTGCATGTGTTTGGACTCTGTACAGTTGCTCATGTCACTACAGGAGCCAGTTGGACCCCAGATCAGTCCAGTTTTCCTTCTCTCTATCTTTTCCTGCTGTTCTCTCAAAGTCTTTCCTATTCCCATGATCCTCCTCTAACTCTCTCTCTGACCCATGGGTGACAGATTCCACTGGAGTCTGTCGAGTTGTCTTGGTAACACACAATGCCACAGCTCTCCGTCAGCCATTCAGTAATCAGATCTAGTTCCTCTCACTGTATTAACTCATCAAACAGAACCGAGTCAGAACTCCATCAGACGGATTTAGTGGTGAAAGACTCATGTGTAAATAACATCAGTGATCAAATGGGGGAGGTATTCCAACATATATGTGACCCTGGACCACAAAACCAGTCATAAGGGTCATTTTTTTCAAAATTGAGATTTATACATCATCTGAAAGCTGAATAAATAAGCTTTCCACTGATGTGTGGTTTGTTAGGATAGGACAATATTTGGCCGAGAATATCTGGAATCTGAGAGTGCAAAAAAAATCTAAATATTGAGAATATTACCTTTAAATTTGTCCAAATGAAGTCCTTAGCAATGCATATTACTAATCAAAAATTAAGTTTTAATATATTTACGGTTGGAAATTTACAAAATATCTTCATGGAACATGATCTATATCCTAATGATTTTTGGCATGAAAGAAAAATCGATCATTTTGACCCCATACATTGTATTTTTGGCTATTGCTACAAATATACCCATGCAACTTGAGACTGGTTTTGTGGTCCAGGGTCACATCATGTTTAAAATAATAAAACTAAATATTGTAGTTCTGCCTTGTTGTTTGCAACCCAAGTTTTTTAAAGGTGTTGCAGAGATGCGTTACCAACAAGAGACCCCAATTAGAGCCTCAAACAAAGACCAAAAACAACAATCCTGTAGATTATTGTGATGTTTTATCAGCTGTTTGGACTCTGCACCCATTCACTGCAGAGGATCCATTGGTGACCAAGTGATGTAATGCTACACTTTTACAAATCTGCTCCCATGCGTAAACAAACTCATCTATGTACATCTTGGATGACCTGAGGGAAGATGTGGAAGTAAAACTATATATTATAATAATAATAAAATAAAGTAGATGAAGAGAGTCAAGAGAACCAGTCAGTGCTGTGATTTGGCCACCTCAGAGGCACGCTAGTCTACCTCAAGAGCTTTTAAAGCCTTTCTAAACCGGCGCAGCTGAAATCAGTGAACGCCGAGTGTTCTGATTGGTGCAGGAGGGGGCGGAGACTAGTGCAATCAACCAATGACAATGTGATCTAGTAGCTATTACGCTCTTTCTTTCACTCATAAGGATTTTTTATTTTATTTACCAAAATGTCTTATAATGCCTAAAAGTTTCACATTTTTATCGAGTTCTAGCTGTATTATGTCAATATCTTCCAGGATATGCCAGGAAACTTGCTGCAGTGTGTTTGTGTTCAGCTTAGCGTCTACACTGCAGTCAAATGAACATGTTTGTTTTTCCGTTGAGGGTGTGGGGTGTTTTTTCAAGCCCCACTGCTCAAACACACACACACACACACACACTCACTCATATACTACTGCAGTCAGCTGCACTCTGCCAACCATTTAAAAGTTGCCTCGTCTGTCCATCCTTTGCTTACTTGGATGTGTTTAAAGATTTGAATATTTCATGAAATGCTGCCATCAGCGTTTGTCTTCCTGAGGCGTCTCTCTCCTTTCACTGTTTATCACGTTTAATCCACTCTTCCACCATCCTTGTCATCAGGATTTCATTTTAAAACCTCTTTTGCTCTCCTAAACACGTTTCAGTTGGTGTCCAGTTTTTCAGATACATTCAGAACAAGCTCCCTGAGAAAATGTACTGCTCAGATGTTGCTCTTTCATAGATTATGAAACTTAACTTGAGATATCAGGAATAATTCTTCAATAATTCCTTTTAAGAAACAAGTGGTCATACAGTAAATGAAAAGTGTCATTTTTATACTAATCTTTGACTTCTGAATGCAGATAATAATTATTATATGAGCAGCGTTTGAGACATTATTGAGATTTCTTTTACACTTCTATTGTGAGACAAATGTGAGATTACTGTGGTCTATTTTTGCAGGAGAACAACTGAGAAGCAGATGTTAATTTGTTCTCCATTTAATCTCATATTAGTGTCTAGCACAAACAACTGGGATGATAAAGAGGTATTTGTTGCTATTGTTTTAGGTTCATAAATAAAGACATAGGTAAAGTGTAACTTTCTCTGCTTTTCAATCTTTCTCAACTCCAAGATGATTCTCCTAATGAGAAAGCAAGCTGTATAATCACTCAACACATGAAATCAAACCCTGAAAATACTGATGTAATTTTTTTATATATAGGTGCTTACATTTAGTTTATTTACTTACATTTAATAGTTATTAAGGCAATAAAAATAGGCTATATGGCATACATTTTGCAAAAGATTACAACTTAGATAACATTTTAAAAATAAAATAAGACCCATATCGGTCTTCAAACTTCAGAAAACATCCTCAAATAAGAAAAGAAAGACAGTGAGATGGTCTACTGAACAAGAGAAAAACAACATGAAGATCTTCCATCAGTCCTTCACTGATCCCAGTTCAGCAGGGAGACCTTCTGCTTTCCTCCACTGAGCGTTTCGCATCCTGAACCATTTCTACAGGACAGAGAGAGAGAGAGAGATTAGGTTGATTGTAAATCAGGAGATATCATAGCTGAATTTTTATATTTTCTGAAAACTGGAGTGGTATTTGCTATATGTTTTCAATAGGTATGTTAACATGTACCACTTTTTTGTCAATTGGAATAAATCCGATTTCAGATTCTGAAAGCTCTGTTTATATGAGCGCAAGGTATTTTTATAATAGTCAGATTCAAGTGATTACATTGTTTCAGGTCCACAAGTCTAAATTTATTTCAGATCAAGCTCAGTCAGATTAACTGGGGTGTTTGCATAAAGGCTTTTCAATCCGATTAGGCCATCATTCTGATTATAAATGGATTATTTAAATACATGCAAATGTAGCTAATGTTATCCATTTCAGCACAAGTTGTAAAACATTTGACATGAAACTGAGTACATATTTCACTTTCACACACACACACTAATCTTTTAGAGTATCCTAAATTAGCTGATTTTCATAGAAACAGACAGTTGCACCACAGCTCTGAGGTACAATGACCTTTAACACCAGCATTGCAACACACTTGCAAAACTGTCAGTGTTTTACATAACATACCATGAGAGTATATAAAAAGCTCTGTATAAAATCCCCTTCTTTGGTAGGGCGACCACATATATCCGCTTTTTTCTGATTTCCAAATTACATAAAATGTCCTATTGTTTTCATACTTGCTAAAGGACTGTAGAGAGACCATCAATAGGAAAACAAAGCCATTTTAGGCAATCAAGAAAAATTGTTCACCTAAAAAACACAAACATTCCACTATTTTTCAGCAGAAGAACAGCAAACACTGTGTGCACTGCTGAAATCAAGCAGCGCCGCTCATCTTCCCCTCACAGGTTTTAGTGCAGCATGTGTAGCGTTTGACTCTGAACACTTAACATGAGAGTATCCACCCATCACTAACCCTACAGTTCTTAGACACAGAGTCTGTGTTTACTAGCCAACACGGCCAGCAGGCATGACCGGTTTACAGAGAGAGAAAGAGAGGTGTACACCTGTTCCTCATACCGCACCCTTTGTGCTTAAGTTTTCTTAGCATTAAAATAATGCAAAGTGGTGATATAATTTCCCCCAGAAACAGGACAGGGTTTGTTATTCAAACCAATTTTCCCTGGGTCATAATTTGCCTATGAAATAAAGCCATAGATGAGGCACTGCGCTTAGCTTTCATGGTGACATTTTCATGACAATTTTGCACATTTATAGTCTTGAGAAACGATCATATAGGGTTATTGTGGGTTTTGAAAAGTTTTAATTCACGCTTCCACAAATTAAGGCCGTAAATAGTCTTAAAGGGGTCATATGATGTGATTTAAATTTTTCCTTTCTCTTTGGAGTGTTACAAGCTCTTGACTTCGTCATACCTAGAGCTGATCCGTGTTGATCGCTGAGGAAATACATCAACTTCGCGCTGTGGATCACCGGATCGGCTTTCACCGTGGACGAAGCGGAGTCCCATAAACACATTTCATTACACCAAATACACAAAATAATGTTCTTTTTAGCAACGTCATATGACCCCTTTAAGTCAAAGCAGAAATCAGAGTCATGGCATATAGCTAAACATATACTTAAATCAAGATGCATTTAATTAAGATGCAAAAAGAAAATAAGAAGTCTCTGTTTTCTGAAAGAATATCTGCCAAAGGTGTATGAAAACCTGTTTTCACTTTGAATTAAGTTGATTTTTTAAATCCTATTGGCAGATATTTGTTCGTGTTTTCACTTGATTTTTATCAATTTCACAGAAATTTCATGTTGCTTCTCAAGTAAATGTATTGATTTAAGAATCTTTATACATTTGAATGGGAAAACAATGCAAAATACCTGAGGATAAATGTCACTTTTTTGCAGTCTGACCAGAAGGTAGTTCAATTCAAGCCATAAGCTATTTCTTTGTGTTGCTTATCCTTGTTTTGGAAACCATTATAGGTTGTTTTTAAAGAAAGTTCAAAAGAACAGCTTTTTCTTGAAACAAAAATCTTTTGTAACATTATAAATGTCTTTACTGTCACTTTTAATCAATTCAATGCATCCTTTCTGAATAAAAGTATTACTTTCTTTCCAAAACCTTCTAAATCTTTAACGTTATATGGTATATTAAATATTACTTGTGCATGAGTGAATACATTTAAGCACACTGTATACATTCGCACACCCCTAAAATGGTGAATTGCTAAGCCTGTTCTATTGTGTAGGATGATTAATCACAAAGGCGTTCACATTTTGTATAAATGCACTTGGTTTTCCACAATCATAGTGACAGAAACAGACCAGCCCCAAGAAGGAATGTGTTTCCAGTCAAATTCTGGCTAACTTCATGCTGTCAGCACTGGAAGTGTTGCTCACAAGCTCTGAAGTATCTATTAGATACTGTAAGTAGACGCATTACAGCATTACTAACTGCCGCATTACATCATGACTCCTGTGTGGGTTTTTCATTTGAATGAGTGTGTTTAGAAATCAGACACAATGCGTTTGAACATGTCGCCCATATCCGTAAGAGGGAAGGCATGTCCGGAGGCACTCTGTTTATGGTCAGTGTCAGCTCTCCATTCACAAGCCTTTGGGTTTTAACGCTGTCAGTGTGTTATTTTGAGCTGGTGACAGCAAAACAGGAATGAAGACAATGCATGAGAGAAGCTTGCATCATGGGTAATGTGGCTTAGTGGTTAAAGATCTCATGTGTTCACTGAAAAGTTGTAAGCTGACACCCCAGAAGAGTTGATCCATTCACTTTCATTGTGCAATTAAGAGTTTTAACCTCCAGAGGGACTCAATCTGTGTAAGTGAAGTCACTTTGAGCAAGGAGAAACACCTCTCTGGAAGCATTATTATTTACTTTAACATTTATTGCTGTCATTAACTTTCCCTGATCAAATAAAGTCAGGCAGGTCATTATGCAATAAAGGCTCATAAACCATATGTCATAGCCTACTACCATGTTGATTGAACCCAAATGTACACTGGTATAACAATATTTTTGGACACACACCATAGTATTATTATGTTTTTTTTAACATTTGTAATCGAGATGTAAATGCCATGGTACAATCCCAGCTAACAAAAATATGTATGCTAATAATAGGCCTACATATTATCACATTCATTATTATTAACTATTAATTATTATTGATTTTAGAATGTTCAAAACATCCAGTTTTTTAAATGTTCTAAAAATGATTTTTTTGTTGTTGTTATGTTAACGTCAGAGAAAACTTTAAGTGAAGGTTCAGTTTTATCATTTTGCAAACATTATATGAACGTTATTTTGAATGTTCTCTAGTAGGCTAGTAAGTAGTAGCCTAAGGTTTGAAAAAAGACTTTTGCTTCAGAAATGCTTCAGAAAATCTTGAAAGATGTATAATGTTTTTGTGGAAACGTTTTGAAAAATAACTTTAATAGAAAAAAATGATTGTTCATAACTTTGAAATAACCTTGTCAGAACGTCACTAGCCAAAGTTCAGGGAATGGTATATTGCAATTCGATATCATACAGCTAGTCATTTTTGACAAGTGCGTTTTACATTATTATTATTATTATTATTATTATTAAAAAATGTACTTTTAATTATAATTATGTTTGTATTAAGACAATTCTGCCTACATTAAAATATTAAAAAAGAATAAGAATTAAAAGAATTTTTAAAAAATATATAGATTTTGTGCGTTAAAAGCGACTAAACAAAACGCGAGCGCTCCCATTCGACCAATCAGAAAGACGCGTCTTCCAAACGTTCTGGTTTGTCGCGTCGCGTCGCTCGATCGCGCTGTAGATGAGGATCTCGTGAGAAACTCACCGCCGTCTCCTCTTCGCTGAGCCCACACTCCGCTGCGATCAGCATCAGCGTGGTGTAGTCGGGGTGTTTGCTGACTTTCGTGAAATTCTCCTCCAGAACTTTAATCTGATCCTCCGCTAAATGCATCCCGCACATCGCCATCGCGTTTCCACTCGCGCTCATGTTTCAACTCCAAACAGACAAACGGACTGCGAACTAAAATCACAGCTCGACTGATGTCAGCCTCAGCGTCCCATGCAAATAAAGTCCAAAGTCGGGAAAGAAGCGCCAGCCTCCACGAAGAAATGCTGTGGGAAAGGGATGCACGATGTCAGAAGTGAGTACTGTACCTGATAATGGCCAAACTCCATCTGCTCTCAGCTCTGATCTTTCACTGCATTATGTAATGCCCTCCGGGTGACGTCACAGCGGGGCTGAAGTGTGACAGACCTTTGAAAGTACCTCATAAAACATGTCCTGGCCATTTTACCATAAATAATAAATCAAATCAATACATATTTTATGTGTATTTGTTTAGACCATTAATACCCCTTACAACCCCTTGTCATTACCATGACAAAAATATAATAATAATAATAATAATAACAATAATAATTCTATTTCTTAATATATTACAACATCTATATTATTATTATTAATTAGTATTATTATCAAAAACATGTTGGACATTACATTACGATAAAAAATGTACAGAGACTTTTAAAATAATTTGAATATCAATTCAATGTAAATTTTACATTTAGTACAACAAAACTTACCTTGATGTATAAAAGTTTTAAAATAGTATAGAATTGCTATTAAATACATTTTTATTATAATTATCATATATTTCATGTATTTACCATATTAATATTTATTTAATATATCAAAAATATTTGTAGGAGTCTACTTTAAAATTAATATGTAATTGCTATTAAATAGATAAGTAAATGAATAATAATAATTATTATATTTATTGTATGTAATATAATAATTTAACAAAGCATTAATTATTATTATCATTTCGTGTATCATATTAATATGTATTTAATATATTAATAATATTTATAGTAGTAAACTTTAAAATAGTAAGTAATTGTTATTAAATAGATAAGTATGAATAATAATTATTATTTTATTGATTGTATTTAATATAATCAGATTTACAAATATTTATTATTATTATTATTACTTCATGTAACATATTAATATTTATTTAATATATTAATAACATTTATAGTAGTATAGTAGTGTACTTTAAAAATAGTATGTAATTGTTATTAAATAGATACGTATGAATAATAATAATAATTTTATTGATTGAATATAATATAATCATTTAACAAAACATTTATTATTATTATTTTTATAGATTTAATGTATTTAATATATTAATATTTATTAAATATATGAATAAATCATATTTATTGTAGTATAGTAGTGTTTCTTTTAGCTTGCTCACATGAAATGTGAAACTCATACAGGCTGTCCAGCAGCTGTCAGTAATTTGATCATATCTAGTTTGTACAAATACAGTTATTTTATTGAATTGTATTGATTATCTCTCTTCCATCTCAGGTAAATTCAGCCCCCTGGATGTTTTCACAGACCTGTCTGCTGTTTCTCCATCAGTGAAGGGAAGGCAGCAGAAGAATGCTGAGCGGTGAGTTCTCTGAAACAGAAACACCAGTCTGTCATGTCCTGAAAACACATGTCTGCTGTAGAGGAGCCTGCGGCGTTTGTCAGAGGAGAACTCGATGGAGGAGGAGAGGAAATGAGGCACGCGGATATCCACACTCTGGACCCTCTGAACTGATTATATATCACTTTACATGCTACACAACCCCTGTAGAGTAATCATACACACACACACACACACGTCCGGTTTGCTATCCTTGTGGGGACTCTCCATAGGTGTAATGCTTTTTCTACTGTACAGACCGTATATTCTATCACTCTACACCTAAACCTACCCCTTACAGGAAACTTTCTGCATTTTTAGATTTTCAAAAAACTCCATTTTGTGTGATTTATTAGCTTGTTTACCAGTGGGGACCTCAATTTAGGTCCCCAACGTGACACGAGTCCCCATGAGTCTGTGGTGTATTCAGGTTTAAGTCTCCACCAGAATAGAAAAACAGGTACACACACACACACACACACACACACACACACATCCTCACTCTGT